GCATGTAAGAATTTCTCTTAAGCATTAATAGTAAAAAAATTATTTTCATGAGAGCATTGTGATTTGTTTGTCAAGGTTTGGTTTAATACTTGGCTGTTGATATTTGAAAAACATCTTTTATGCTAGGTTTATTTGGATACTGGATTTTAATGATTGGTGCAGTTCAGAGCTCATAAAGATACATTTAGAGTACACTGCCAGCTGCAATGACTACATTGCTTATCTATCAAATGTGCCTAAGTTTTTGTTGAAGTCCCTAGTAAATCCTGTCTTTTCTAATTTCATTCAGTTGTTCTAGAAAACTAATACTCAGGTTGTGCTATGCTGTTAGTCATCATATGCTTCTCCAAATGCATTCTCCACCCTTGTATACTCTGCTCTGTGCCCCAGGAGGCTGATTTCTAAGGACTGCATCAACTGGTCTGCCTTGTCCCCTGACTTCTGATTGGGTTCAGCCAATGGAAGGCACTGACAGGAGGACCGAGAGGTAGGAGTATTTACTTTCACATCTTCCTCTTTCCTGGTCTTCAGGTTGTCAGTAACTATGCTCAGTCGTTGTGGGGCTCTCTTCTTTAGTTACAGCTCTCTTGGTCTAGTAACTATTCCCTGTCCCCTTCTCTTCCTCTTTTAGGCTTAGAGTGGGAATAACTCCTTGTTGTGGCTGATCCAGGAATACTTCATCATCTCTTCCTAGCTTTCTCTTAGTCTTGCCTGCACATTTGTAAATAGTCTCTACGTTAATTGTCACTCACTGTCTTTTTACATGTCCTTTCTTGCTAGGACCTTGGGGCTTAGTTTTAGTTGAATTTTTAATGTTTTTTTAAAAAATGAACTGAGTTAACAAAGTGAAACTTTTCTCTTAGAATATGAAACATTAGATAACTTTATTTCTAGGTTATAATTGCAGAGAAAGAGAGACAGAGAGAGAGAGAATGTGTGTGTGGGTGTGTGTGATGGGGGGGTTGATGGGTGTGTGAGTGTGTGTTGAGGAGTAAACCCAGGGCCTGTGCATGCTGAATATATTCTCTACTTTTGAGCTGTACTTCCATAGAAATAGTTGTAGTATTAATGACAATTCACAATGCTTTTAATAATAACAACCAAAAAACTCACATAATAATGGAAACATTCCTAAATATCTGTTTTTAAGAGGAGGCAGTACCTGTGTTATTAGTATCAATTATATTAGTTTTAGTATCAATTATTTATATTAGTTTTAAGTATCAATTATTTAACATCAATTTTCTTGTTAATACTTGTTTCAGTAATTGTAAATAGAATTTAAATTTAGTCTCTGAATTCTGAGATTCAGAATGTATTAGCATAAACATTTTATGCTTTAAGGGAAGAAAACAATAGAAATGATGACAGAAACTTAATGAGTCACCTATAATTGTTGCCAAGTCTTTGTGTATAGTTGGCAGTATATTGTTTCCAAACTACTGACTGATTTCATGAAATAATTTTTCTTATATGAAGAAAAGAGCTTGGGTTTTTGTTGTTTTATCCGTTTTTTAAGGGAAGACTGTGTTTATATAGCTCTTGATTATATGACACTTGCTGTTTTGAGGTGAGTTTTTTTAATATTACTTTATGGCATTTTATTCTCTAATGAATAAAAGCCAGATAACATGTTTAATCAGGACTCTTACCATGGACAAATATATTGATTAGAGTTTTAAATTTTAAATATATTTGTAACTGAAAAATGTAAAACAGCATTGCTTATATCCTTTTGAAGATATTTAAACATGCATGTACACACATATTACATACTATAATTGGGGATCAGAAAGTACAGTCAATATGGGGAGAAAAGTCCCTTATATTCCTAGACTTTTCCTTCTGGTTGGGGATAGTTATTTTTTTAATTGAAAAAAGTTTCATACAATATATTTTGATCATGTTTATCCCCTTTTAGATCCCCACAAACCCAACTTTATGTTCTTTTTCCTTCCTTTCTTTAAAAAAAAAAAACAAACAAACAAAAACCAAAAAATAGACACACATAAAATCCATACAAAAACAGAAACCATATTATACAAGCAAAAGGCCATAATACAAAAAAAAAAAAAAAAAAAAAGCAAAGCAAAATGAGACAAAAAGTCTACAAAAAAATTATTGACCAACTTCTCTTGGTCATGGGGCCTACCCTGAAGCACTAGCAGATATCAATTGCAGATAGCTTCTTTGTTGGGGGTGGGAACCTGTGCTTCAGTTTTCTCCTCAGTCTTGGGACCCTGTCTGAGTTGAGCCTGTACAGGTTTTGTGTGTGCTTCCACAGTCTCTGAGTTTGTGTATGCTTCAGTCTTGTTGAGTCTCAAAGACACTGTTTGCTTTGGAGTCATCATCCATCACCTCCGGCTCTTATAGTCTTTTTGCCTCCTATTTTGCACAGATCCCTAAGCTTTTTGAGTGGGTCAGATGGGAGGGGATAGACAATTATTAACTAAATGTTCATTAACACTGTGTAGTGGTGAGTAAAATAAAGAAAAATAAACCAATTTAAGAGCATAGAGCTTTTATTGAACATCACAATCAGAGAAAACCTCAGATTTGGTAGCCTTTGAAACATGGTTGAAATGACAGGACCAGCACACTGATATCTGTGGAAGAGTATATTTTTATGGGAGAAGAATGGAGCACAAAGATTCTAGGGAAGTATATGTGTTGGTGTGACTTGAGAATAGATGGGAGTCTAGCTGGAATGCAGAGAGCAAAGACTTAGAAACACTGAAAGGATAGAGGGCCTTAAGGAGGTAAGGATCATATCACACCTAGGTCTTAGAGGTTATAAGAATGCCAAATGTGTTCTAAGTATGACTGGAAGATAGTAAAAGTATTGCACAGGTTTTTGTGTTCATAGAGCAGAATGAAAGGAAAAAGCCTTGTCATGAGTATTTGTAGTAATCTAGGTTAAGAGTTTGGACTCATGTATACACAAGTACATATATTTCTAGATGCTGTTTATATTTGTGATGTTTGTAGGTTAAATAATCTTATTTGAAAACGTTTTTATACTTAATTATGATGATGTCTTTTTCAATGAATGCATATACACGTACCTGGTCTTATTAGATGAATGGTTTATAGTCTCTAGTACATTAGTTAATGTAATCTGGTCCTTGGAGGTGAGTCAGCAGCTAAAGGTGCTTATTACCAAGTCTAATAACTAGAGTTTGTTCCTTGGAACCCCTGTTGGGGGGGAGGAAAGAACCAACTTTCCAAAGTTGTCCTCTGACCTTCACATATACCTGCCTGTGTACGCAGGCAAATAAATAAATAAATAAATAAATGTGAAATTTTGTTTAAAGGTAGAAAGAATGTGCTGACACTTGAAAGCAATCCTCTAATCTCTACAGGCATAATATGGCATGTGTTCCTTTCCCCAGCACACAAAAATAAATGTAAATTTTTAATAAAAAAATTAATTTTTTGAAAAGGATAAGAGTAGCTTGACATAGCACACCAGATGAGCCCAAATTCTTCATTATTAGAAAACTAATGTTCTTATCCTATGAGAGGCTTAATCAGTTAGTGCCATCTCCTTGTAATAGAAAACAAAACAGTAGTACAGTAATTTAGTAGACTCTATTCATGGTATCCAGATGCAAGTGAAGGTAAGAGTTATAAGTTATCCTCATTTTTAATCGTAAGTTGATGTGCACACAGTTTAAGAAGGGAAGGGGTTTGTTTCTCATAGTAAAAAGATTTATGTTTCAGTGAACTTTTTGACAGTTTGTAGGGAATCAGGGAACTATATCCATATATCCGCAGTCAACATTTAATTTATATAAATTTTTTTTTTTTTTTTTTTTTTTTTGGCATGTGGTTTGTTTAGATAGTTAAGAAGAGAGCATCCAGAGCATCCAGAAGTGGGAAGGGCTCCAAGGGAGGAAAATCCTCACATAAATTATTATGGAGTATTTTGAGTGATTGCTTTTAGAACTGACTTGAGTTTACCATTGTAGTAATTATGAATGAAATATTCAGAGGATTTGGCATATTTTACAAAGGTAGAAGAATATATGTTTTCCATGTTTTTTGTTTGTTTGTTTATATAATAGATACAGATCTAGAAATCAATAGTTAAACTATCTTTTAAAACTTTGCATGGTCAGTGTAATGCTTCCTTTCCTAGTGTAAATATGTTTTTATTGACTTTTTTTGTCGTACTGTAGGTCATTATTGGGTCGTATGCCTGCTGCCTTTGCGCTACATCCCAAGGTCTATTATAAATTTTTTAGTCAATTCAAATTCATTAAGGTGATTTGTGCCGGGATACTATTTTTAACCAGTATCTGAATGAATTAATAAAAATATGAAGGACACATTTGCATTGAGATTGAAAAGGAATTCTAGAGTTCTAAATTTTGAATCTCTTCACTCAAAAGACAGATTTCATTACAGTGTTCATTCATTGTTATTAATATATTCTCTTTCATTAGTATTGATAAGTAGTTAATAGTACATAGGTAGATCACTTTCTAAAACACATGTAAATGAGCCTCTACTTCATCTATTCAGGGTTTTCCTTGGGCCTTGTAATTTCTTATTCTCAGGACACATGCAATATAATTGTTATATATTATAATGCTGCACTTGTTTATAATTTCCCCAATGTGTTTCTTACCAAAGTCTTCCTTAAAAAATGTTTTTATATCACTGTACATTTTCTCATCCATCAGTAAACAGTATGATACCTTGCAAACAAAACTTTCTATTGATGTTTTCAATAGAATTAGTGTTTTAGTCCTTAATTTGAATGCTTCATGCTGATACTTTTGAAATGTAGAGGAGGGACTGTTCCTCAATGAAATTTATGTGGAAGAGGTTAGAATCCTGTGTGGAACAGATAAAACTCTGGAATGTGGCAAAGAAAAGTTTAACTAAATATTCTGTAGTAGTCAGCAAAAGATACTCTACTTAAGGTGCTGGTGAAAGGGTGCGTTTCTTATCCGGAAGATTTGACCTTGTAAATTGACTTGTTCTTCTCCAAGGCACTTGAGAGAAAAGACAACGATAGCAGTTACATCTAGAGGCTATTATGGATTGGAGGAGGAGAAGGGAACTGCATGTCCTTCAACAAGGCGCCGGTCAACACCTCGAAGTTTGGCAGGTTTGACAAATGGAGTTTTTGAGTCTATAATGGTTCAAGTTTTGAGACAGGAAGAACAGCTGAGAGCAAAAGAAGAAAAAAGGTAAATGTTAAAATGTTAACTGTTGAGATTTCCAAGAATACTTTTAGAGGATAGTTGCATTTATACTCCATTATCATAGTTTTGGTCCCATTTTAGTAGTAGTCCATATTTATAGTAAAGTTAGTAGTAATGCACTGTCAACAAAATATTAATTGTTAATGAGTCACAGTGAATTTTGTTTTAAAGTGTAGTTTTAAATTTTAAAACAAATTATTTTGGCAGTATACAAAAATAATTTTATAAAAGATATTCAAGTTTTCTCAAAATATTCTCAAGGGAACTTCAGTTTATAGCGATTTTCATATACACTTGTAGTTTTAGAATAGAATTACACACCATCCAATTATTACCAACTCCAGAAATAATGATGTTCAAGAATGACATATGGGCTGGAAGCACTTGCTGCTTCCATAGAAGACCCAGCTTGTATTCCCAGTACCCACATGGTAGCTCACAACTGTCTAGCTCTAGTTCCAGGAGATCCAGTGCCCACCTCTGGCCTCTGAGGGTATCAGGCATGCTCATGATGTACAGACAGACATACATGGAGCATACATACAGAACATACATGGAACACTAGTGGAAGGCAACTTAAAACATTTTGTAGCACTTATATTAAAAATGTAACTTTGATAATTGTAGGGCTAAAACTCAGCCATGATACTTTCAGCAATCATTCTTTTTATAGCAATGGTTAATTTTGGAAACAGCTATGAAACACATTTCTCCCCTTGTTCAGCGCCCCAAAGTTTTTCTGCTGTAGGAAATGGGAATTTTTTGAAAGAATTAAAATTAACCTGATAATAGTACATAAGTGATTAGAATAGGAGGAACCAAAAAATTGGAAGGCTGATGGAAGAAAATGCCTCCATTACTGGTCACCAGAAGGAGGGAGGGAGAGAGAGAGAGAGAGAGAGAGAGAGAGAGAGAGAGAGAGAGATTGTTCTGAGAAGAGTTAACAGAACTTATTCTCAGAACTTAATGCCTTCCTTGATGCAAGTAGAGCAAAGGAAGAGTAAAAACTGAACCACAGCTGGGTGTAGTGGTACTTGCCTTTAATTCCTCCAGAGTTCAGGAGGTGAGGCACGTGGCTCTGTGAGGTTTGAGACCAGCTATACAGTAGTAATGACACTATGGTGACAAGGAAGAAAACTTAAGTGTAGTATTTATTTACTGAGACAGACTTAGCTCTTAACATGTGTAGTCAACTTGTCACAGAGAAATAAAGTTGTTTGCCCAAAGTCACACAGTTTTGGAGTGGCCCTTGGGCCTGTGCTACTAAACAGTAAACTACCTTGTGATTTGCAAAACAGCTGAAATAGCAAAGAAATTGTTAAGTTTTAAAATTTGAGCTGAAAGGGAAGGAACAGTGAACTTGTCTAAAAATAAAGGGAATAAGATGATGATAAATGTTGGCGCATCCAAGTGTGAATGCATAGTGGGAGCTAGGATAGTCCCAAGTGTGAATAGACAGTGGGAGCTAGGACAGTCCCAAGTGTGATGGATAGTGGGAGCTAGGATAGTCCCAAATCATAAATATGTTTTTTCCTGTCAGCTTTACATGTATTTATGTTAGCCTTGCCACAAATAAACATAGGAGAATAAGCCATGGCAGAACATTGTCCATTAAATGCCTCAGTGCACCACCACACCCAACTCCTATATGTTTTCTTATTTAAATATGACTTGCGGAAAAATTGTGTCCTTCCGGGCAGTGGTGGCACACACATTTAAACCCAGAACTCGGGAGGCAGAGGGTGATGGATCTCTGTGAGTTTGAGGCTAGCCTGGTCTACAAAGTGAGTTCCAGAACAGCCAGTTAGTTCTATTTGTTACACAGAAACTGCTTCTTGGAAAAAAAAAAAAAAAAAAAAAAAACTGTGTCCTATCTTTGTGTTTTCAGTGTTTTTCAAGAAGAAAATTTTACTTTTGACAGTTGATTGAGTAAAAAAAAAAAAAAAGAACAAAAATTACGGTTTTGGTGACCTGTATAAGAAACTGTACCATAATTAGCGTTATGAATTTTTTTTTCCTTCAGCATTTCTAAGTTTCCTTTTTTATTTCAATATCTAATTGTAACTTTTGGGTGTAGTGTGAGAAAAGGATAAAACTAGTTTTCCCATTACTGGTAGTCATTTATGCTAATACCACTTGTTGTGGAAAACCAAAAAACAACCTATCCTTTTTTTCACTAAATTCTTTATGCATCTTTATTGAAGTTAATTGAACATATATTTGTGAATCATTCTGAACTCACTTATGTATAGATACATATGTACTACTTTAATTTGATGGCTGTTTTATTTGATACTGTTATTGAGGAGTACTATTTATTTAAGGCTTTATATAGTAAACTTTGAAATTAATGTGAGTCTTCCATCTGTATTTTTCTTATTTTCAAATTTGTCTGTACTATGACCTTTTCTTTTCCAGGGAATTTTAGATCACTGTAAATTTCTTTGCAATAAATAGATAAATAAATAATTAAGTCAGGGAATTTTGATTAATATTGTATGGGTATTACTGATTAATTTCTGGGTAATTGTTTAATTTCTCTCAGCAATATTTTGTATTATAAATCATTGTAACTTGTAATTATGTATAAATGTGTAATCTTGTAGTATAGACCTTTTGTCTGTTTAATTCTGTCAGATGAGCTTCTTGTAATTTTTAAATTATAAAATCAACTCATTATGGTACAAATTGCTGAGCATGGTGGTGCACACATCTCAGCACTTAGAAGATCAGGAGTTGGCTATGTAGGGAATTTGAGGGTCAACATAGTTTATATCAGATCCTGTCTCATAAAACCAAATTTAGACTGGAGGAAAGGCTTAGTGGGTAAAGTACTTGCTGGGCAAGCATATGGACCTACATTTGATCCCTACTGCCTACATAAATAGCTGAGTGTGGTAGCATACCTCCAGTATCCCGAGGCGGAGATAGTAGGATCCCAAGGCTGTGCCATTCAGCCATTCTAACCAGTCAGTGAGCTCTAATCTCAGTGGGAGACCCTGCTTCAAAAATAAGTTGGAAAGCTATAGAGGAAGACACAAAACATCAATCTCTAGCCTCTCCATGCACATGCATACAGGCATGGCACACACTTACACTCACACATGTATACAGGGCTTCTCTGTGTAGCTTTAGAGCCTGTCCTGGAACTCATTTTGTAGACGAGGCAGGCCTTGAACTCAAAAAGATTTGCTTGCCTTTGCCTCCTGAATGCTAGGACCAAAGGTGTGCACCACTACTGCCAGCTTTAATTTTTAAAAGAAAAAAGAGAGAGATAATAACTATCATACTTTATTGACTTAAGTAATAGTGTTCTGTCAGCTGTTGATAGAAAAACAAAAATTCTCCCACAAAATGTGTATTTAGGTAGACTATTATTTCCTCACTAGCATTTTATGTTTTCCCTCAGTAAGAGATGCTTTCTCCACAAAGTAAGATAAAGTGCCTGGTGAGATAGCATGTGTCTTTAGTTGCAGTGCTTGGAAAACAGAGGCAGGTGAATTTTTGAGTTCCATCCCACCCTGGTCCACATAGAGTTGCAGGACAGCAGTGCTGCAGAGTGAGAGACCATAGATCAAACATACGAAGCAAACAAAACCAAAACAAAATGGGGAGGAGCATAATAGAATACTTCTTGCCTCTATAATGCCACAGGCATATACCACACACACTTAAAATAATAAAAGTACATTGTACATACTCAGTTTTGTTTTTGAGTATTTTATTGAATACTGTTACATGTGTGTCCATCAAGAATGTTGCCTTTTGTTTTCTTTTTGTTGTTGTGCATTTATCAGTTTTGATATCAGAGTAAGACTGGCTTTGTGAAAATGAATTTGGAAGCATTTCTTCACTGCTATTTTGTGGACTGGTTTGAGAGTAGTTTTTGATACTTAGGAGGGAGTTATGAAAAGGTTGTTTTGAAAGTATTCAATATCCTATTGAAGGGTTTAATTCAAGGATGGAGCCAAAATAAAATAAATACATTCTTATTAGTTCCCAGAGGTCTCCATTGATGAACTCAAGGGAACCTAGAGGATCAGGTTGCCTGTTGATAATCTGTACTGCAAAGGGTGGGGTAAGTGTAGGGGCTATCAAAAGATATTTGGTATAGCATCTTTAAATTGTTCATATCTAAAATTAATTATGAATGTATGGACCTATTTCTTAAGACTCAGCAGTACTGCTGAGTGTTGAATGGTATTATCATCTATTAAATTTTGCAGGTTAGAAATCTGGGGTTCATCCTGGAAATGTCCCTGTATCTTACATACATTTCAAATACACCCCAAGATTCTGACAGTTTACTTCCCAAGTATCTTTACATCTATGTGTCTCTTGTTTCTGACTTCAGCTAGTTCTTTTATCTCTTACTTAAACTAATGAGATTGTTTCTTAATTACTTTAACAGTATCCAGGCTCTCCTCATTCTAGTGTGTTTTGCACATTAAACTGTATTGTGGGCTGGGGATTTAGCTGAGCTGATAGGTTTATGGTCAGCTATCTTTAGGAAAATCTGACAGGACAGCAGGAAGTCTGGACTAGCTGGTTCACTGAGGGCCTTTTGATTTAGGAATCATCAACACTATTAGAGACTTAGAAAATTGAGATAGATCTAGTTAATTTATGGTTGCTAAAATAATCTTGACACTGTCCCAACCACTTTATTTTATTCCTAATGGTGACTTTGAACCATTTAGGGAAAGAATATATTTTGTAGACCTCATTTATTGAACAAAAAAAAAGTATATAACACTTTCAAAAAATAAAATTTGTTTAAAAAGACATATTGGCTCTCCTTACATATTCTGTTAGTCTGGATTTTTATTATTTTTGTGTGCTTATTTGTTTTAGTATCTTTGTCTTATGGGATACAGGTTGAGATCCCAGGCATGTACCATCTTACTCGACAATGAACATGACATTATCAGATGGTAGTTTGTTACCTTAATTGCATTAAAAATATTCTCACAATTACTTTTTGT